ACCTCTTTCATTGGGTTTACTGTATTTGGTGGTTTTTTTGATACTCTTGTCAAGGGTATCTTTTTTAACCTCATTTTTAATTGCTTTTTGCTGGTATAAAGAATCAATAAATTTTTGTATATTAACCTTTAACTCAGCAAACCTACTATTTCATTTGTTAATTCTAAGTTTGTCTACATAGATTTTTTGGGTTTTCTGTGTACACCAACAAAGCACATGCTAAATACTGTGGTATTTCTTCCTCTCTAATCCTTATATCTTGTATTTATTTTTCTTGCTTTATTGCACTAGCTACACCTCCACTACAATAACAACAACAAAAAAAGTGGTGATACTGGGCATCCTTGTCTCATTCACAATCTCTTAAGGAAAGCTTCTAACGGGTTACATTAATTGCTACCTGCTAAGTTTTTTATATACCATTTTACTAGATTAAGGAAATTCCCTTACATTTCTAATTTTCTAAGGGATTTTAATATTTATCACAAATGGATAACTGAATTTTATTAAATTTTTTTCCTGGATTGAGATAACTATGGTGTTTTTTCCTCTGATAATGTGATGAATTATATTGATTTATGAATGTTGAAACAACCTAGAATGCCTAGAATAAACCTAAGTTAGTATGTAATATCTTTTCTAAATATTGCTGGATTTAGTTTAATATTTTGTCTAACAGTTTTATATTAGCATTCACATAAGACTGGCCTGTAATTTTCCTTAACTGCTATGTCCTTGTTAAGTTTTGAAATGAAGATTATGATGCTTCATAAAAGGAGTTAGGAAAATCTTATCTTTTCTTCTGTTCTCTGGAATATTTTATAAAAAATTGGTGTTACTTATTTCTTAAAATATCTGGTAGAATTCATCAATGAAGGCTATTGAGCCCAAGAGATTTCTCTATGAGCAGGTTTTTCAATAACAAATTCAATTTAGCCGGGCATGGTGGCTCATGCCTGTAATCCCAGCACTTTGGGTGGCTGAGGCAGGCAGATCACCTGAGGTCAGGAGTTTGAGACCAGCCTGACCAACATGGTGAAACCCCACTTCTACTTAAAAAAAAAAATGCAAAAATTAGCCGGGCATGGTGGTACGCACCTGCAGTCCCAGCTACTCGAGAGGCTGAGGCAGGAGAATCGCCTGAACCCAGGAGGCAGAGGTTGCAGTGAGCCGAGATTATGCAACTGCACTCCTGCCTGGGAGACAGAGTGAGACTCCATCTCAAAACAAAACAATCAAAAATCAATTTAATAGGGTACTGTTCACATGTTTCAACCTTTCTTGTATGCTGTGCTTTCCTTGGGATTTTTCTACTACATCTAAATGTTTTACTGCGGGGAGGGGGTACATGGTCATAGTATCTTTTTATAACCCCTTTACTATTCAGAGGCTCTATTATGGTTTCTCATTTTAATTGCTAACATTAGTTATTCTCCCCTTTTTTCTTAATTAGTCTTTCCAAGGTTATCAATTTAATTACTTTTTTTCAAGGAGAATAGCTTTGTTCATCCTCTTATACATTTGTTTTCTATTTTATTAGTTTCTGTCTTATCTTTATTACATCTTTTCTTTCTCTTTTCTTTGGTTTTAATTTGCTGGGACTTTTTTGTTTTTCTTGAAATGGCTACTTAGATCACTTTCAGCCTTTCTAATATATATAATTTTAGCTATATATAAAATGTATAAAATGTAGCTATATGTATACACACACAGCTAACATTCTAGGCACCACATTAGATGCATTCCACAAGTTTTGATACGTACCATATTTATTATCACTCAGTCCAAAATATTTTCTAATTTTCATTGTGATTTCTTTTGATTCATGTGTTATTTAGAAGCATATTGCTTAATTTCCAAGCTTTTGAGGATTTTTCTGGTTGTCTTTCATTGTTCTGAGTTCTAGATTAAATCCACCTTGGTCAAAAAACATGACTCCAAACATCTGAAATATGTTGAGACATGCTTTATGGCAGTAGTGGTAAATGGTCCATATTCACTTGAATGTGGATTCAGCAGTTATTAGGTACAATGTTCTATTTAGGTTAATTAGGTCAAGTTTGTTAATTAGGTTAAGTTTGTTAATCTTGATCAAATCTTCACCTTAACTGAGGTTTTCTCTGCTTGTTGTATTAATTGAGAGCTATGTGTTAAGTCTTCCATGATTACCACGTACTTAATTGTTCCCTTAATTCTGTCCATTTTTATTTGTATATTTTAAGGTTATGTTATTAAGTATTTACAGAATTGAATTAATAAAGCAACCTGGTTAATTGATCCTTTCATAATTTTTAAGTGTCCCTAGATCTTTAATATTGCTTCTGGCTTTGATGTTTACTTTGTCTCATGCTAATACAGTTACATCGGTTTTCTTGTGGAAGTTTTCTCATGTCATATCACTTCCAAGCTTTTACTTTCATTTTTTTAAAATGTCCTTCTTTTTACATTCTTCAAATTTAGCAAGTTCTTTTCCCAGTCTCTTGAGATGAATCATTTTCAGCCCTTCCTCTTTTCTAATATATGCTCTTGTGGCTATAAACGTCCCTCCGAGACATTTTATCTGCATTCTGTAAGTCTGATGTTGTATTTCCATTTTGAATTCAAAGTATTTTCTCATTTCCATTGTGATTTCCTCTCTGATCCATGAATTATTCAGAACTTCATGTCCTAATTTCCAAATATATGCAGATTTTCTAGTTATCTTTTTCTAACTTATTTCCAGTATGTTCCGAGAACATACCTGTGATTTCAAGCTTTTGAATTGTATCAAGATTTACTTTATGGCCCAGCATATGGTCAGTTTTGGTAAGGGTTTTGTTTGTGCCAGATAAGAATGTGTACTCTGAAATTCCGTTGTATTATATTCTATATAAATAAATTAAGTCAAGTTTGCTGATCATGCTGTTCAAATCTATATTCTTTCTTATGTTTGTCTCTTATTCCATCAGTTACTAAGAAAAATGTGTTAAAATTCCCCCCTATGATTGTGGCTTCATCTGTTTTTTCCTAGTTCTGCCACTTTTCACATACAGATAAAAGACAAAGAGGATTTTCTTTTAAAACTATTTAATTAGATATTTACATTAGATACTCAGATATTTTCATCTTGGTTTGAGTCCCCCCCGCAAAGTGTAGGCTGAGACACGGACTTCAGGGTAACTGAAGGTGACCCCAGGAAGCACAGTGAGGACACAGGGAGAGCAAGGCAGAGAAGGAAGGAAAGCTAATAAAGGGTATGCTATTGAGCACAGTAAGCATATTACTGAAGTAAGCAGCTGGTGATGAATTCCACTGGGAACCCACTAAGGAACCAGATGGTATGTTTCAGAATCGTCCCTCTGAGGGATGGGAAGTTGGAGAATTCACCTAGTCCCTCAATTACTTGAACCTTCACCTAAGACCTAAGAGTGTAAACTCCCTGACACTTCCAGATTTCATCTGAGCAGCTTTCCAAGGCCCCAGAGAAACATAATATATGACAAGCTTGTCCAACCTATAGCCCACGGGCCATATGCAGCCCAGTACAGCTTTGAATGCTGCCCTACACAAATTTGTGAACTTTTTTAAAGCATCACAAGATTTTTTTTTTTTTTTTTTTTTTAGCTTATCAGCCAGCATTAGTGTTAGTGTATTTTATGTGTGGCCCAAAACAATCCTTCTTCCAATCTGGCCCAAGGAAGCTAAAAGATTGGAAACCCGTTATAGTACATACTGGCAGCGCACAAGGACCTATATGCAATAGCTAAAATGAAATTAGGAGGCAAAGAGGACATACTACAGGGCACAAAGAATGTCTGCTAAAGTTACATATCCTGAAATTTCACATTTTCTCATTATGAAATGTTTTTCTTCACCTTGAGTAATGCTTTTGGCCTCTGCTCCAATTATACTTTTTCTGATAAGAATATAGTTATACCATCTTTCTACTCAAACTGCATGTTATATATTTTACCTTTTAATTTCAATGTTTTTGTATTTCTATAAACATTAAATAATAATTGCATTTGTTTATCTGATCCAGTTCGACAGTTTTTAATCTTTTAATTAAGCCAGTTACTGCATTTACATTTAACAAACCTATTTTGATTTAAAGCTGTCATCTTGTCACATAATATTTGTACTAATAAGCTCTGTTCCTTTTTCTCTTCTTTCTTGCCTTCTTTGGGACTGATTACTTTTCTTATCATTCCATTTTTCTCTATTAGCATGTAAGATATTCTCTACTAATATATATTTTTAATGATTTCAAGATAAAAACATGGATTTGTGACTTAACAAGGTCTAATGTTAATTAGTAATTTTACCAATTTCCAGGCAACCCAAGGACTTAGAAATACTTTAATTCCATTTATCCCAACCTGACTTAAATATAACACCATTGCCACCATAATTGTATATATACGTTAAACTCAAAAGGCAATTACCGTTAGCTGGGCACAGTGACATGCACCTGTAGCCCCAGGTACTTGGGAGGCTGAGTAGGACTGCTTAAGTCCAGGAGTTTGAGTCCAGCCTGGGCAACATAGCAAAACTCCATTTATTATTGTTGTTTTGTACAATCAATATTCATTTAGATTCACCCATAAATTTACTACTGCTTTTCATTTCTTCCTGCAGATCTGAGGGTCAATCTGGGATCACTCTCTTTCTTCCTAAAAAACATTTTTTAATATTTCCTTAGTGCAGATCTGCTTGTGACCAATTCTCTCAATTTTTGTTCATCTGAAAATGTCTTTATTTTACCGTTATTCTAGATACAGAATTCTCGTTCGGTAGAGGAAAAAGTCATGTTCTTTCTTTATAGATATTTTATTGTTTTCTGGCTTTCACTTTTTTGGCTGACAAGTCAACTGTTAAGAGCTATTTGTAGATAATCTTTTTTGTCTTTGATTGTTTTTCAGATTTTTCCCTTTGTCTTTAGTTTTCAACCATGGTAACTGTTTCTTTTTACTTATCTTGCTTGAGATTCTTGGACTTCTTAAATACATGGCCTTCCTCACCTTTGGCAAAATCTCAGCCAGTTATCTCTTCAAATATTGCTTGTGCCCGTTCTCATTCTTTTTTTTCCTTCAGGGATTCCAAAAACACGTATATTAGACTTTCTTGTTGTATCCTCTTTCTCATATCCTTTCATCCATATTTTCTATCATTTTGCCTGTGCTTTATTCTAGACATTTTCTTCTGTCACATCATCTAGTTCACTAATTATCCCTTAATCTTTAAGCCCTTAATTTCAGTCATTCTATTTTTCAGTTCTAAAATTTCCACTAATTTATTTTTACGGTTTTTAATTCTTTTTTGAAATGCTCAAGCTTATCTTTCAGCTCCTTGAACGCAATAAACATTGTAATTGTAATCTGTGTGCATGATAATGACAAATATCTAGATTTATCATGGGTCTATTTCTATCTTCTGCTGCTTCTACTATTTTTCATTTGTGTTGTCTTGTCTCCTGGTCCATGTTGTCTGAGGTTATTTTCTGAGCAAGTACCAAGCATTATATTTGCAAAATTATTTGAATAATCTGAAACCTAGAATGGTAATTTTTCCTTTGGAGAAAATTTACATTTGCTTCTTCCAGGTTCCTGGAAGCCCTAGCACTTTGGAGATGCCTGGGGACAGTAGCACTCTTAAGTTTAATTTAAACTGATTTCAGGGATTTAGATGTTTGAAGCTGAGTGGTTTTATCAAGAGGGCCTGTTCTGGTCCACCCTTACTCCTAGGATACAGCCTTTCAGGGTCTTTAGCCAAACTGAGGAGGCGTTCAGAACCATCACGGACCCTTAGCCCCTTAAAGTTATCAAAAATACCACTCAATCTTTTATCCTCTTGGCTGCTTTCTTTACTTTCAGTTAATAATGGCCCCAAACCCTGGACACACCTCCCTGAACCTCTTGCCCAGCCCAGATCCCAGCCTGGTAATTGTTCACCATCCTGATAGCATTTTGCTTCAAGCCAAAATTTTTTTAAATCTAACGTAATATTTGTCCTCAGTGAGTGGACTGGCCCAAATTACTTACTCTGCCATTACCAAAAATTAAAGTCTGAAATAATTCATATTTAACTGTAAACATCCTGAGGGAAATTTACTTCTAAAGCTGATTTCTACAGCCAGTCAAACTTCCAATCAGGCCTGAAAACAGAATAAAGATTATTTTCAGATATACAAGATCTCAAAACTATGCTCTATCAAAATGGAAATGTAAACATATAAATATGGTGACAGAGAATGCAAAGAAACACAAATAGAGGAGCACAGAAAACTTCCAGAATAATGGTGAAGGGAGTTCTCACGATGACAGCTATATTCTTGAAAGCAACCTATCCACATTGGAGAATGGCAAGCTCCAGGAGAGATGTCTTCACAGGGAAAAGAAATGAAAGAAAAGAAAATGGACAGATTACTTGCCATGTCTAAACACAACGACAGAAGATTTACACCTGTGTCAGAGAGTTCAGAAACAATCAATGGTAGGTATGTTTAAAAAACCAAATGAAAGTGAGACAATTAGTAATTTCCAGGAAAACAAAAAAACAGTACAAAAAACAAGTCTGCTTATTACACTACCTGACTCAACTATGAATAATATTTACCATTTTAATGATATAAATGCTGAATACTGATCTAACAAAAAATTAAGATATACACTCCTGGAAGGATGAGGGGATGATAATTGTATGTAAGACAGCAAAACCCCTCATCTTTCATAGTACCAAGTCATTAAACAGCTAAAATTATAAATGAAAATATAGCAGTAAAAAAGGTTCCTTGGAAACATAGAGAAAATGCCAAAAGAAAGAGTTAAAGGCTTGAAATTACTCCTCACAGAAGTAAGAATCCTAGGTTCAGAGGGGTGGGGAAGATTACTATTTTTTCTTATGAGCCTTGTAGAATTATTTTTCTTTTTATTTACTGTGACAAGTATAAATATTAAAGGTGAAGAAAAGTTCAGGAATATTAAATGCTAATAATGATGGAAGTTACTTGTCCAAGGCCATTCAGCTGAAAAGAGGCAGGGCCAGGACTCCAAATTTCGTACTCATTTCATAAAGTCAACCTGCCCAGTAGGGAGCTAGAAGATAATAACTGCAGGAATGTCCATTAAAACCAACCCAGTGCCAACACTGTAACCAGAAACACAGAAAGCCTTAACTTACAAAATAAGTTGCTTATATTAGTGATCCACCAAGTATGATTTGCAGGTGGGCTGAAGTTATTCACAGACAGCAATCCCGCGTAAGAAGCCTGAGGCAAAGTGTAAATCAAGTATGTCATGAAACACACCGTTCAGTGTAACTGACATTCTTACAAGCAAAATTTTCTCAGCGAAAGATGGATATACACTGATTTACATTCCAGTGCAAGCTTTTAATCTCATCATGGACCTGTGATTTGATTAGCAGTGGTTTACACCGTAGGACTAACTGCTTCTAGGTCTGTATCTTTCCAACAAATAAGAATGACTGATGTGTTGACTATGTCCCCACCCAAATCTCATGTTGAACTGTAGTCTTCAGTGCTGGAGGGGCCTGGTGGGAGGTGATTGGATCAGGGGGCAGACTTCCCCCTTGCTGTTCTTGTGATAGTGAGTTCTTACGAGATCTGGTTGTTTAAAGGTATGTAGCACTTCCCCCTTTGCTCTGTCTCCTCCTCTGACATGTGAAAATGTGCCTGTTTCCTCTTCACTTTAGGCCACGATTAAGTTTCCTGAGGCCTCACCAGCCATGTTTCCTGTGCAGCCTGTGGAACTGAGAGTCAATTAAACCTCTTTTCTTCATAACTTACCCAGTCTCAGGTAGTTCCTTATTGCAATGAGAGAATGAACTAATACAATGACAAAAACATAAAGCCCTATTTTCTAGTTCCTATATCATATACTGCTCAAATCGGAGTATGAATGTGTTATAACACATACTTGAAAGAAGTGTTTTGATTCTGGAAAAATTTTATCAATCTCCACCTCTTTTCTGAGTATGGAGAAGTCAAAAAGGCAAAGAGTAGAACTCCACAGAGAAGTCAAGGGAAGAAGATCAGCAAACTTCTAATTAACCAAGCACAATTGCTTTGCCAGGAACATCAGCAAAGGGGACCAAATGAAAATACCTGTCAAAGGTGACAAAGTGCTCTGCCCAAAGAGGAAGGCAGAGTTCAGTGACAACAACCTAAAACCTCAGAAGATACCAATCCCTCCATTACCCTCTAAACTGCTACCCGTTAACCTGATTCACCAGGACATTCTGTGTCCCTGGTGCCAACAATTAAAGCTGAGCACCAAAGGCCAGGAATTAGATGCACATAAGCACCCATGTGCCTTCGCCTACCCAAAACAAAAGGACATTCCTAGCACAGCGAAAGAGGTCCGAATTCGGAAATCATTACAAAAAAAAAAAAAAAATCAAAGGTGGACAAGGGGTAAACATCCCTGAAAAGTTCTGAGGAGACACATCCTCCTGAGGTGGCTCTTCCTCCTGGGGGGGTGCTGTCTGCCATGGAAGAGTCTGCTGCTCTCCTTGAAGAAGTTAATACGGCTGTAAGACAACTTCTACCCCAGGTGCTTTGCTGGCCTCCAGGGCCAGAACTGCAGCCAGGGTGGGACACCAGAGGCAGAGGAATCTCCACAAGGGAAGACCATGGGAGAAGTCTCCCTGTAGATACAGATGGTTGGGTTCACCTCCAGTTTCATGCTAGACAAGCCTGGGCTCCAGAAGAGTAAGAACGGAGAGTGAGTGCACTCTTCTTGCTTACTGCCTCCCAATTTTCCACCTGCACCTTAAAGACAGTAAGTTGTGCTCCAAATGTGTTCACAGGTATAAGGTCTTAATAAAAAGCATCCAGTGGGAATAAAATACCAGAAAAAAGGCACATATATGGTAATTAATAGTAGAAAGACTCAACAGTCAATTCCACGGTCATGTTGCTGATAAGTGAACTCCGGTTCTCTCCACACCTGCTTACAGTCCATGCAGACTGGTGGACTACAGGTGTTAGATTATGACACGCAGCAGTGTCTGCTGCCTCACTGGCTGAGATATAGATTCTAATTTTTAAAAATGATAAAACATTTCACAAATTACCATTAATTCTAGTTAATACATAGAAAAAGTCATTTATACTAGACTTCTAAAATAGAAATGGCTTCAACAGCTCTTTTAAGTGAAAACTTCTTCAGCTGAGCACTAAGAAACAGTAGTTTGCTCCTGTGCTCAATTTCCCTCCCTAGCATACCAACAGCTCTAGGAGCGCCTCCATTCCAATTGTAAATTTCATAAAATGCAAAGTATTTTAAGGCAGAGAAAGGCTGTTAATTCTCTCCCTCCCCAAAACACATGATTTTTAATATTCAAAACAATATTTGTTTTATTAATAACCTGAGACTTCTATGATTTGATTCTAGGACAGAAACACAAGGCACTTTGTATTACTTCCACCTAAAATTGTTTTGTGCATCTCTGCTGTTTAAAATGTTTAAGGTTGTTCTCCACTCATAAATACATATTAAATGTATATACACTCAAAACCTGTTGGTGGTACAGGTTGAATCATTTGCTTTTAAAATCACTTTATTTAGGTATGACTGACATACAAAAAGCGGCACATATTTAATGCATCCAAATGAGTTTAACTTTTAGTTTTCTGTGTATTTCCTAAATTGATAGTCCCGTGTGTCTTGGAACAGATCTGTTTTTTACTTGTCCTGTGTTTTAATGGCAGTCTCCAAAATTGTCTTATTATTACAAGTAGGGGATTTGCTTTGCCCCTTTAATGAAGATATAAAAATAATGCACTGGAAAGAGTGGTAGAACTGGAAAATTTGTAACCATCATGATTACTTAATAGGTTTGGGAAAGAATCCCAAAAATGTTAAAGCAAGAGAAGAAAGTTTGTTGACAAGTGATATGGTTTGGGTCTGTGTCCCTGCCCAAATTACATGTGGAACTGTAACCCCCCAATGTTAGAAGTGGGGCCTAGTGGGAGGTGACTGGATCATGGGGACAGATTTCCTCATTGGTGCTGTTCTCGTGATAGTGAGTTTTCCTGAGATCTGGTTGTTTAGAAGTGTGTAGCACCTCCCCCTTCACACTCTCTCTCCTGCTCCACCATGTGAAGACAGGCCTGCTTCCCCTTTGCCTTCCACCATAATTGAAAGTTTCCTGGGGCCTCCTCAGAAGCCACTATGCTTCTACAGAACTATAAGCCAATTAAACCTCTTTCCTTTATAAATTACCCAGCCTCAGATATTTCTTTATCACAATGTGAACAGACTAATACAAGAAGCAAGACATTTTCATGATCTCATAGTGTTGTTCCTTCCTGCCCTTCACTGGTTGCTGGTGGTCATAATTTTTCAGCACTATAATAAACACATTTGTTCCTTAAAAAAAAAAGAAAGAAAGAAAGAAGTGTTGTAATGCAACACAATCTCCCAGACGAATTCTATGGAATAGATTCCCATTACTAGATTATCTTCAGAAACCTACTTCTAGAAACTTAACCAACTTTCAGCAGCCCAATCAATGAAGTAGCAAATTGACCAGACAGCTGCAATTCTAAATCTCTTGTATGTCCCCAGGCCAAACTTAAAATCTTCAAATCCTTACCATGGAATCTATCCATTTAATCCCTTAATCTCTCTGAATTTCTCTTTAAGAGAAATTTTGATGTCGAGGGCATTAAGTAATGGCAATAATGCCCATGATATTAAAACTAAGCCACAGGAATAAGTTCAAATTTAGCATCACAGTGACTAAATATTATCATAATCACAATTCTTTAATGAGTTTCTAACAAAATAAACAATCTATTTATCAACCAGAAAACCACTTTCATTTCAACTTGCTAAACAGAATTTTGTTTTGCCCTAAGAGAAACAAAGTGCTAGCTAAGTAGCCTACCATAAAAGGAACACTGACCCTGCCTAAATTATGATTTTTTAAAAATCAAACATGATTATTCACTGTACTTTTGCATCACCTTCTGTATTTTTGCATTGTGTGTAATTTAAAAATATATTCTCAAAGGTCTACTCAAATTTTAAATTAATTGCAATTTAGCAAACAGCATAAGCAGAAAACTTTGATACAGTCAGTGTTACCATGTACTACTTTGACCCAAAGTACAAACGGCCAACCAAGGAGAAATTTTCTGGGTAAGCATAATAACATTTTTATCAAGTCAAACTCTTTCCTTGTTACGGGAAACATTTCTAAAGTATTCTTAATAAGTTTTCTCAACAAAATCACAATCTCAGTGTGTACCATTCACAGAAGTGTACCTGAATAAGCTGATGACAGCCTTAATGAATGGTGATCCTACTGGTAGGAAAGGTCTTCAGAGTGAGAAATGGGACCAGTGCTCCCCTATAACTCGAACTCTTCCAATCCTTCTGAGATTGACATCCACACCAAAAATTAAGAGGCAACCCTCACACATAAATGCTTTCTACTTCCCTTCCAATATTCTGAGTATTCCTCCTAATTTACCAGCTAAATTTATGAGAAGGCAACCAGCAAATATTATTAAACTTTTCCCCCAAATTACCAATATCAATGAGTGGTGGGACTGCAGGTAATTTTCATTTTCTTCTTTTCTTTCTTCTCCCCTAATTTTCAACATGGGTAAACATGGTTTTTTTTTTTAAAGGGTTCTCTTAATTTTACTTCAAATCTAACCAAAAGAGGCAAATTCTTTAATCTGGAACTTGTTGTGTAATACTAGCCACACAGTGAAGCCAAAAACAAGTTTCATGAAACTCAGTGAATGTTAATATGAACATGTAATATGATGAAGGTTAGACAAACAATGTGTGGTACCCTTTTACACTTTCTTAAAGAAGTTATGGGCTGGGCGCGGTGGCTCAAGCCTGTAATCCCAGCACTTTGTGAGGCTGAGACGGGCGGATCACGAGGTCAGGAGATCAAGACCATCCTGGCTAACACGGTGAAACCCCGTCTCTACTAAAAAATACAAAAAAAAAAAACTAGCCAGGCGAGGTGGCGGGCACCTGTAGTCCCAGCTAATGTAGTCCCAGCTGCTCGGGAGGCTGAGGCAGGAGAATGGCGTAAACCCGGGAGGCGGAGCTTGCAGTGAGCTGAGATCCGGCCACTGCACTCCAGCCTGGGCGACATAACGAGACTCTGTCTCAAAAAAAAAAAAAGAAGTTATGTATATATTACATGTAACCAAGGTAAAATGATCCTTGAAATAAATGCTAATATTCTTACACATTTTCACAATGAATTTTTCTTCTAAAAGAAAACAGCAAAAGTATAATAAAAAACAATAAAGAAACTAACTTGGTATACAAATTATTTCTTCAACAAATATTTAAGAAACACATTTAATATAAAAGACAACATAAAAATATCAAGAAGAACAAATAAATAGCTTTACCTCTTTATGTGTCACATCCAACTGACCCCTAAGAGTCTTAAGTTCCTGTTCACGGATTTTCAAGCAAGTTTCTAGAGCATGTGTCCGTCCTTCCCATTCAGATTTTTTATGAGCCACCATTATGTCAATCTGTTTCATGAGCTCCTGTAGT